ACATCATGGGATTTTTTTTCTTTTTTTTTTTTTTTTTTTTTTTTTTTAAATCGTACTATCGATTAGATTTGATACGGAGAAAAAAAACAAGATTTTCTCTCTTTCCAATATAATACGGAAAAAATGATGGCAGGATTTTTTTCTCCTTTTTTCTTTTTTTTTTTTTTTCTTTTTTTTCCTTTCTTTTCTTTTCAATACGATTAAAATGTTTAATGTTAATAACAAGTAATATCAATGATTATCGATAATTGATGATTAATAACGAACGAATAAATTTCAATTGGATTAAAGAATATAGGTGATATTGATCGATTGAAAATTATTCGTCGGCATGAATATCATATGGAAGTAAAATAAAATACAATTGATTATAATTAATATGGTTATAGATGATAAAATGAATGGTAATTATTTTCAAGTTAGAAATCAAAATCGAACTATAAAAATTTCGTTGTATATATATATATATAATTGCTTACAATATTAATAAAAAAAAAAAAAAAAAAAAAAAAAAAGAAACATGAAAGAAATATGTTTGTCACAGATAAACGGGTAACTATAATTAACAGTCAATAATATAAAGCGACTAAGCGTGAAATAATAGAATAGAGAAACAAAAAAAAGAAATTAAACGAGAAAGGAAAAGATAGAAAAAGGAAATAAAGTGGTAGGGGGAAATCCCCTGTGGCTTATGATGGGAGATCCCATATAGAAGAATCACGTTTCATCGTTTTATTGTCGTGGATAAAGTTTTTCCAAGAGATTCGTGATAAAAGATTTGATCTTTCGTTGAAAAGGATCGAAATGAAATAAAAAAAAAAAAAAAAGAAAAAAAGAAAACAAAAAACAAAAAACAAAAAACAAAAAAATTGAGATATTAAAATTAAAAAGTAAAGAATTATTTTGTAATAAGAAGAAGAGAGAAAAATAGACTTAAACAAATTTCTATAGGAAAAAGAAAAGCAATATGGATCAATGAAAATAAGATTGAGATCCTATGCTTGATTAGATCTATCAAATGCGTAGATACGATCACGTGACACTTGACAGCAGCCTTCTATCTACTCTTCGAGAGATATGTGTGTGTGTGTGTGTGTGTGTGTGTGTGTGCGTGCGTGTGTTTGTTTTTTGTTGCAAAATTTCTTAAGCAATTTCAAAAAATCAATTACTCCTATAAATTTCGATACTTTTTAGGCTAATTATTATTATTATTATTATTATTATAATTATTATTATTGTTATTAGTATTTGTTTCTTTTTCGCAAATTATAAAATTTTTTTTCTTTTCCTTTTTTTCTTTTTTTTTTTTTTTTTTTTTTTTTTTTTTTCTATAACTTATTCATTCATTTATTTATTATCGCTATCTTTCATTAATCGACGAATATGAGATCATGTATTGTTAGAAATGAACAAAAAAAAAAAAAGAAAAAAAAAAAAAAGAAAAAAGAAGAGTGGAAAAACGAGAAAGAAAAGAAAGAAAAAAAAAATAAGAAAAAAGAAAAACGATTAGAATGGATGAGTTGACAGATACGATATAGTACAATACATAAATGGTATATCGATTGTTAAAGGAAAAGAAAGAAAGAAAGAAAAAAAAAAAGAAGAAAAAGAAAAAAAAAGAAAAAAAAAAAAAAGAAAAAAAAAAGAAAAAGAAAGAAAAACTGTTGATCTTTCCTTTTCCTCAACGTAAAAAAAAATTTCAACTTGTCAGATCAATCGAAGAATTTTCTATCGATAAATGATTCTCTTGTAAAAGTGAAATGATTTCTAAGTTGAAATGATTAAAAACAAGAAGGCCACGTCGGTTGTATTTATTTTGAGTCATGCAATTCTACGTTGCTTGAATGCAATGTTAAAAAATTTATTCCCTCTCTCTCTCTCCCTCTCTCTCTCTCTCTCTCTCTCTCTCTCTCTTTGTTTAAATTCAAGATTAAAGATAATACGTATCGCATGAAACTAAAGATAATATCGTACGTTCATTTCGTTCTATCATTTAGTTTGTACGTTTCGTTTGTTCGTTTCGTTCGATTCTATCTATTATCTAGTTTTATTATCGCATCGATTACGTTCTTTATTGGCAAAGATTACTTTCTGATATTTTATCAAAGTTAATCATTAGATTTTCATCTATCGGCTTAATGCACCAAAGTTCGCTTCTGTGATGCCTAAGATAGATCTTTAGTAAATAAAAAAAGAAAAAAAGAAAAGAGAAAAAAAAATCAAATCTAACAAATTTTCATTAGCATACTTCTATATACGATTTTTCTTTTTTTCTTCTTCTTTTTTTTTCTCTTCTTTTTTTTTTTTTTAAATGGATTCTATTTATACTTATTTATTGATTTATTTATTGATCGATCGATCGATTTGTTTGTTCGTTCGTTTATTTCTATTCTTTATATTATTATTCATTCGTATCGTATAAATTTGAAATCTTTTACAATTTTTGTTCGCAAATAAAGGACTATTAAAAATAGGAATTATTCTAATTAAAGATCAAACGATTTTCTATATTTTTATTTCACCTTTCGAATCAGTTCTTATTTATTGTAGAAAAGAGAAAAGAAAAGAAAAGAAAAGAAAAGAAAAGAAAAGAAAAGAAAAGAAAAGAAAAGAAAAAGAAAAAAGAAAAAGAAAAAAAAAAAAAGAAGATTTTTCTCTTGAAAGTATTATCCTTTTTATCTTTAATTTTTTTATTCCTTTTCTTTTTTTTTTTTTTTTCTTTTTCTCTTTTTTGTTTACTCCTCTTTTCTTTTTTCCATTAAAATATTGAGAACGTGAAATTAGGCAGCTGCATTGGACAATGACAGAAGCAAAGTGAAGGGTTGTACGTTAGGAGCTTTAACTAAGGGCTAAGGGCTAATGTCACAGGCACGTGCAACCACATCCCGTGTACTTTTTGTCTCGCTCATTATCCCTTCTCTCTCTCTCTCTCTCTCTCTCTCTCTCTCGCTCTCTTTCCTTCTATATTTTTTATTCGCTATCTTACTTGCGCACGCCTACATAAATACGAAAATTATGGTTAAACGAGACCACATAACCACCCGCGAAGGAAACGTTCTTTTCGTTAAACAACCCCCACTCTAATCTCACCCCTTCTCTACTTCATTCCTCGTCTCTATTATAATTTTACTCGGTTGACAAAGGAAACTTAATGACATGGTGGAAAATCAGAAACCGAAGGAGAAAGAGAGAGAGAGGGAGGGAGAAGAAATCACGATTGATAGAACGAGAACAATTTTATTCGTCTACAAACACTATTATTCATTATTATATTAATTAGTATTAAATGTAATTAAATAAAAAAAATATATATATATATATATATATATATATACTAACAAAAATTGGATGATTAAGTAACGAAAAAAAAAAAAAAAAGAAAAAAGAGATAAATAAAATAAATAAAAAAGAGAAAAGAAGAAACAAAAAAAAAAGAGACAAGAATTAATAAATCCGCTCATCGAAATTCGATGAACACGAACAATTACATTACTTAGTAATTAGTCGATATTATTGATTAATTCTTGTCAATCGATGCTCGTCATCTTTATTATCGATGCATCGTTATTGCTGACAATAAATGGTTCAAGATAATCGCTCCGATATAAAAATAAACGTGAGTCAGTACCTCTTGCGAAATTTTACACTCACCCACCCACACTATATATATATATACACACACACACACACACACGCACACACATTCATATATAGATACGTGCACGATTTAATTGATTTTAATAAGAATTTCATGTCTCTTATAAAAAGCCGAGGGAAAAGGTTTTAAAATGATTTTCAATATCATTTACTACTTTCTTTAAAATATTTCAAAATTCATTGCCGAAATCGTACTTTCTATTTAACACCATCTAACAACCTATTATAATTTTCTAATTCGACGAAATAATATTAACTTTAAGGAAGCACCGAAACGAAATAATTGGATATGCAAATGTTTATTTAAGATATATTTATCATGTCGAAGATCATTGATCAATTCTTTTTCTCTTTTCTTTTTACCTCTTTAATCATCTTTAAAAAGTATCTTTCTTTTTGTAGACGTCACAAACACTCAATATTATCTTCCTCGTCGAAGATCGTAGAGTTAGAAAACAAAAGAAGAGAAAAAATAAGAAGAAAAAAAAAAAAAAAGGAAAGAAAAAGAAAGAATAATAAGTCTTATCGAACGCGATTATTAACTTGCAATAAAAATGTAAAGAAACAGAAGAAAGGAAGAAAAAGAAAGAATCAAGAAAGAAAGAAAGAAACGAAATGAAACAAAAGGAAGAAAAGGAAAAAGAAAAAAAAAAAAGAAAGAAAAGAAGAAAACAAATTGAGTATTCAATTATCATTATCTACTTCTCATTTGAGATTTCTATTTGTTCATTTATTTTCCCGATTTTGAAATGATCAAATCACGAGATGATGGTGTTTGAAAATTAAGGGGGGAGAAAAAAGAAAAAAGAAATGAAGAGAAAAAGAGGAGAAACCAAAGAAAAGAGGAAAAAAAAGAAATTGGCAAAAATATATTTAATATAATTATTATTTATAGAATGGATATAACGTATAAAGCGTTAACGCGTATGCGTCTATCAATGAGCCATCCGATTAGTTGAGCAAAGCAAGTATGCAGGTTACAACGGAGATATCCTATCTCTCTTTGTACAGAAAAAAATATAATGATAAAGTACGAAAACATGGTTGGTTGGCGGGGGTTAGTAGCAGTCATTTATTAGCTCACCATCGTCTATATTAACCACCAGAACGAAGACTTGTCCGAACTAATCGGTTCTTTGTCTTCCTACGTATAATAGTAACATTAATTTCTAATTATTAATAATATTTAATCTATTTCGAGATATTATTTATACTATACAGTGATCAATAAAAGTGTTATAAAATATATATATATTTATATATATATATATATATATATATATATATATATATATATATATACATTGACAAATAGAAAAAGGAAAGAGAGGGGAAAAGAGTGATTTGACAAAAGGATATATACAAATATACACACACGTACGAGCGCACAACAAAACACACAAAAAAAATATACACACACACACACACACACATATATATATATATATATATACATGTATATATATAAAATATTGGAAACATGAAACTTCGATTTTTATACGCGATCCTCCTAATGGCGATCGTAATGATCAAAGGTGAGATATTTTAGTGATTTTGTTAATTAGTGAATGGTTAAACGTATCGTGTAACGTTTGAAAATAATTATTTATGACACGTGATCATATTCTGAATGATATTTGTAAATCGTGTTATTAAAATACGGCGAATTTTTTTTTTCCTTTGAATTTTTATTAACAGCCGAGGATGACGTGGATACAGATAATATACTCGACAATAAAGATTTCGGAGACATTGTGAATAAGGAAAATTCCGGAAACCGAGGACGATCTTTAAATGTTGATGTAAAAAACAATGAGGGAGAAATCTCCGAACCAGGCACTGGCGAAGAAACCCCCGATCCAGGCACTGGCGAAGAAACCCCCGATCCAGGTACTGGCGAAGAAACCCCCGATCCAGGCACTGGCGAAGAAACCCCCGATCCAGGTACTGGCGAAGAAACCCCCGATCCAGGCACTGGCGAAGAAACCACCGATCCAGGCACTGGCGAAGAAACCCCCGATCCAGGCACTGGCGAAGAAACCACCGATCCAGGCACTGGCGAAGAAACCACCGATCCAGGCACTGGCGAAGAAACCCCCGATCCAGGCACTGGCGAAGAAACCACCGATCCAGGCACTGGCGAAAAAACCCCTAATCCAGGCACTGGCGGACAAACCAATAGTACTGAAAGCAATACTGAAAGTACATCAGATATATCAACAACCAGTCCAAGTTTAAAGGATTACCCATACCAAGTTCGTGGAGAAAAAGGAACGTGTATATTGTCGAAGATGACGATCTCATTAACTGTGAATTACAACATCACAAATAACACGGTATTAGATTGATTAACATCTACAATTAAAATTAAATAATAATCCTTTTAATTATTAACTGATAAATTAACGGAATATGAAAAGGAAAAAAATATGTATATTTGTAGAAATAATTATTTGAACTTTTCTTTTATTTAATTGATTGATGTTATAATCAATATCGCTCGTTTTTGCAAATAATCTAATAATAGAATTTTAATATTTCATTTATATCGTTTAACTTTTTATGATATATATACATACACATAAACACACACACACACACAGAGAGAGAGAGAGAGAGAGAGAGAGAGAGAGAGAGAGAGAGAGAGAGAGAGAGAGAGAGAGAGAGAGAGAGAGAGAGAGACTTATTATATACGTTATATTACAGATTGTTTCAGCAATCTTGGAAGTACCTTCTACTGTAAAAGTCAATGGTACATGCGAAAATGATACAAATTCTATGATATTAACTTGGACACCATTAGAAAACGACCCAGAAAGCGTCAATTTTGCGGATACAACTAATAATAATAACATGGGATTCTATTTCAAGAAGAGCGGTTCTACATTTTCGCTTAATCAAATCAATGCATCCATATATTTGGATGAAAAGAGTTTTCCAAATGCGACAGGTTTGTTGTATCATTATTAAGAACGTTTAATCGTTGAAATCTAAGAAATATTTATTTTCTTTATTATATATATATATGTATATATATATATATTTTTTTTTCTTTTTTTCTTCATTTATATTTTTATTATATCTATCTATTTATTTATTTATTTTCTTCTTGAAATTCTTCCTTTCTATAGATAATGGAAATTACATAAATCTGGAAACCACATCGGATCTTAATTTGTTCTCTTCTGCTACGGACAATAGATATGTATGCAACGTTAACACCGTTGTGAAGGAAGACGAATTTGAAATATCAATAACCAATGTCAGTTTGATAGCTTTCAACGAGGACGACAAAACTATATCGTCGAAATCAAGTAAGGATTAATATTAATGTTAATATTTTCTTTTTTTTCTTTTTTTTCTTTTTTTTTTTCTTTTTTTTTTCTTTTGTAAACGTTCGATATTATTATTTTTTTTATTCTTTTCTCTATATCGAAATATTTTCTAACAAATTATATCGACATTTTAAATGATCAAAAGGATGATATTATCGGTATAACTCGTCTATCGATTTAATGATATAACGATCTCAATTTATTATTATGCCTAAAAGTGAGTTTAATTATAAATTAATAAAATTATCTGTAACGTGATAATACATATGATACGTATTATATATAATATTTATATATATATATATATATATATATATATATATATATATTATATTTTCATAATTATTATACTATGTATAATTATTAGTAATATTACTATGTAATATTGCTTACTATAGTAGTATTACAAACTGCAGTTATACTGTATAATATTATAGAGTTATTTATGTTACATAATAATTTTATTCAAATATTAACTAAACTTTTGTAATATACACACATAGACATATATATATATATATATATATATATATATATATATACATAATATATATAGTACTTATATATAATACTATAATATTATGTTACATAGTATTATAGTTATTATATAATATAAAATATAATTTTATCAATAAATCCTATGATATTATAGAACACGATATATAAAATATCGTATTTATATTATATTATAGATCTTCATAATATAATATTTTAATAAACAATAAAATATTATATTCTATTATGAAAATATTTAAATATTGTACATGTCGTTCGAATATATTTAAAAAAAAAAAAAACAAAAAAAGAAAAGGAAAAAGAACAAAAAAAAGAGAACAAAATTATGATATAATATAGAAAGAATTATTTAGATCGTTTTCCAAATAATGATAATTATTTTCGAAGTAATTACAAAAAAAAGAAAAAAAAAAAAAGAAAAAAACAAACGATATAAAAACGATTGATTTTTTTATTTCAGTAAATGACTGTACTAACGACGGCGCAACTGCTGCTGAATCGGCGAATGTTGGTGCAATAGTAGGTGGTATTATTGGTGCTTTAGTTGTGGTTGGTATCATTGGATTTATAATTTGGCGACGAAGAAGAAACTCTTCGTCTGTTCGATCGGAAGTA